AATAGTCACCGGATAAGTTAACATTGTTTTGAGTTTAATTAACAATAGTGTCACATGGGAAGTTAATAAAGCCTTGGGTTAAATTATCAATAGTGTCATAGAGAAGGTTAACGTAGCTTGGGGTTTAATTAACAATAGTCACCGGATAAGTTAACATTGTTTTGAGTTTAATTACCAATAGTGTAACATGGAAAGTTAATATAGCCTTGAGTTTAATTACCAATAGTGTAACATGGGAAGTTAATATAGCCTTGAGTTAAACCTTTCAGTTGAATTAACAAGAGCTGGTACAGAGGAAGTTAGTCTATCTTTCAGTTGAATTAACAAGAGCTGGTACAGAGGAAGTAAGGTTTCAGTTGAATTAACCCGAGCTGGAATAGAGGAAGTTAGTGTATCTTTCAGTTGAATTAACAATAGTGTCTCAGGGGAAGTTAGTGTATCTTTCAGTTGAATTAACAATAGTGTCTCAGGGGAAGTTAGTGTATCTTTCAGTTGAATAAACAAGAGCTGGTACAGAAGAAGTTAGTGTATCTTTCAGTTGAATTAACAATAGTGTCTCAGGGGAAGTTAGTGTATCTTTCAGTTGAATTAACAAGAGCTGGTACAGAGGAAGTTAGTTTATCTTTCAGTTGAATTAACAAGAGCTGGTACAGAGGAAGTAAGTGCGGCTTTCAGTTGAATTGACAATAGTGTCTCAGAGGAAGTTATTGTATCTTTCAGTTGAATTAACAAGAGCTGGTACAGAGGAAGTTAGTGTATCTTTCAGTTGAATTAACAATAGTGTCTCAGGGGAAGTTATTGTATCTTTCAGTTGAATTAACAAGAGCTGGTACAGAGGAGGTAAGTGCGGTTCTTAAGTTGAACTGACAATAGTGTCTCAGGGGAAGTTAGTGTATCTTTCAGTTGCATTAACAAGAGCTGGTACATAGGAAGTTAGTGTATCTTTCGGTTGAATTGACAATAGTGTCTCAGGGGAAGTTAGTGTATCTTTCAGTTGAATTAACAAGAGCTGGTACAGAGGAAGTTAGTGTATCTTTCAGTTGAATTAACAAGAGCTGGTACAGAGGAGGTAAGTGCGGTTCTTAAGTTGAATTGACAATAGTGTCTCAGGGGAAGTTAGTGTATCTTTCAGTTGAATTAACAAGAGCTGGTACATAGGAAGTTAGTGTATCTTTCGGTTGAATTGACAATAGTGTCTCAGGGGAAGTTAGTGTATCTTTCAGTTAAATTAACAAGAGCTGGTACAGAGGAAGTTAGTGTATCTTTCAGTTGAATTGACAATAGTGTCTCAGGGGAAGTAAGTGTATCTTTCAGTTGAATTAACAAGAGCTGGTACAGAGGAAGTAAGTGCGGCTTTCAGTTGAATTGACAATAGTGTCTCAGGGGAAGTTAGTGTATCTTTCAGTTGAATTGACAATAGTGTCTCAGGGGAAGTTATTGATCTTTCAGTTGAATTAACAAGAGCTGGTACAGAGGAAGTAAGTGCGGCTTTCAGTTGAATTGACAATAGTGTCTCAGGGGAAGTTAGTGTATCTTTCAGTTGAATTAACAAGAGCTGGTACATAGGAAGTAAATGTATCTTTCAGTTGAATTGACAATAGTGTCTCAGGGGAAGTTAGTGTATCTTTCAGTTAAATTAACAAGAGCTGGTACAGAGGAAGTTAGTGTATCTTTCAGTTGAATTAACAAGAGCTGGTACAGAGGAAGTAAGTGCGGTTCTTAAGTTGAATTGACAATAGTGTCTCAGGGGAAGTTATTGTATCTTTCAGTTGAATTAACAAGAGCTGGTACATAGGAAGTTAATGTATCTTTCAGTTGAATTGACAATAGTGTCTCAGGGGAAGTTAGTGTATCTTTCAGTTAAATTAACAAGAGCTGGTACAGAGGAAGTTAGTGTATCTTTCAGTTGAATTAACAATAGTGTCTCAGGGGAAGTTAGTGTATCTTTCAGTTGAATTAACAAGAGCTGGTACAGAGGAAGTAAGTGCGGCTTTCAGTTGAATTGACAATAGTGTCTCAGGGGAAGTTATTGTATCTTTCAGTTGAATTAACAAGAGCTGGTACAGAGGAAGTTAGTGTATCTTTCAGTTGAATTAACAATAGCTGGTACAGAGGAAGTAAGTGCGGCTTTCAGTTGAATTGACAATAGTGTCTCAGGGGAAGTTAGTGTATCTCTCAGTTAAATTAACAAGAGCTGGTACAGAGGAAGTTAGTGTATCTTTCAGTTGAATTAACAATAGTGTCTCAGAGGAAGTTAGTGTATCTTTCAGTTGAATTAACAAGAGCTGGTACAGAGGAAGTTAGTGTATCTTTCAGTTTAATTAACAATAGTGTCTCAGGGGAAGTTTTTGTATCTTTCAGTTTAATTAACAATAGTGTCTCAGGGGAAGTTAGTGTATCTTTCAGTTGAATTAACAATAGTGTCTCAGTGGAAGCTAGTGTATCTTTCAGTTGAATTAACAATAGTGTATCGGGGGAATTTATTGTATCTTTCAGTTAAATTAACAAGTGCTGGTACAGAGGAAGTTATTGTAGCTTTCAGTATAATTAACAATAGTGTCTCAGGGAAATTATTGTATCTTTCAGTTGAATTAACAAGAGCTGTTACATAGGAAGTTAATGTATCTTTCAGTTGAATTGACAATAGTGTCTCAGGGGAAGTTAGTGTATCTTTCAGTTAAATTAACAAGAGCTGGTACAGAGGAAGTAAGTGTATCTTTCAGTTGAATTAACAATAGTGTCTCAGGGGAAGTTAGTGTATCTTTCAGTTGAATTAACAAGAGCTGGTACAGAGGAAGTAAGTGCGGCTTTCAGTTGAATTGACAATAGTGTCTCAGGAGAAGTTATTGTATCTTTCAGTTGAATTAACAAGAGCTGGTACAGAGGAAGTTAGTGTATCTTTCAGTTGAATTAACAATAGCTGGTACAGAGGAAGTAAGTGCGGCTTTCAGTTGAATTGACAATAGTGTCTCAGGGGAAGTTAGTGTATCTTTCAGTTAAATTAACAAGAGCTGGTACAGAGGAAGTTAGTGTATCTTTCAGCTAAATTAACAATAGTGTCTCAGAGGAAGTTAGTGTATCTTTCAGTTGAATTAACACGAGCTGGTACAGAGGAAGTTAGTGTATCTTTCAGTTTAATTAACAATAGTGTCTCAGGGGAAGTTTTTGTATCTTTCAGTTTAATTAACAATAGTGTCTCAGTGGAAGTTAGTGTATCTTTCAGTTGAATTAACAATAGTGTCTCAGTGGAAGCTAGTGTATCTTTCAGTTGAATTAACAATAGTGTATCGGGGGAATTTATTGTATCTTTCAGTTAAATTAACAAGTGCTGGTACAGAGGAAGTTATTGTAGCTTTCAGTATAATTAACAATAGTGTTTCAGGGAAATTATTGTATCTTTCAGTTGAATTAACAAGAGCTGTTACAGAGGAAGTAAGTGTAGCTTTCAGTTCAGGGAAAATTCCTTGAAGAAATGTCCTTTATTGAATTGGGCTATGAACAGTGTATTATTCCTATCACGGAGAGTAAGCTCAATGAGGGAGGAAACCCGAAATCTAAGACAATCTTCACCTTCCTGAATCCTCCGAACATGGGTTGGATGATTACAAACCAAGGGTTACATTCAGGGGAAATTTGGGATTCGAACCAACAATATATGAAAGTGTCAAACCCAAGGGATGAAAGTCTGTACAGGTAATTGTTGTGTCTTAGACGACCGGGTATAGCAGGTATCACAATATGACCCGGGTGTTTTGGGTGCCCTGTGGTGGGGTAGCCTTATAAACTCTCACGGAAGACCGATTCCAATCGTGGCTACATTCTTTAACGTCATTTTTGGCGTCCTCCGGGATGATATGGCTGGAATATTAATAAAACACCACTGCGTAAAACCATTCTCTCTCATCATGATGTGAGGGTACTAGGATAGCAGAACGTTCGCCCTTGACATACACAAAGGATTCATGTGGGCACACTTTCTTTAACAATTCGTGGCGCCTGCCGCTGTAATTTGACCGCTACAAGCATTGTGAACTTTACCCACCCCTTAATAACAAAAACTTATACAAATATTTCCTGACTTAGGAAGGTCAATATGACCCAGTATGTACAAATACAAATGTACATATATAAAAAACACTACTGAGTCAATATTTGTCCTGAGTACTAAATATTTGTGCTGGGTCACGAGATGATTGTACACAGATTGAACACGGAGAACAACCAGCAAAAAGAAATGCAACGTGTGGGCGGTAATACGCAAATAGTTAAGAACATGTCACCACTGTTTAGAACTGACGCATGAGCGGACGATTTCTATCAGCACTGTCCTTTATCCGTTTTGCAAATGTCCGTCCTATCAAGGGCGGGTCCAGCATTTTTAAAAGGGTAGCGTCCAAAATATTAAAATCCTCTCTCAGATTATCTTACTGCCTGCAACATACTACATTTGGTTTTCAAAATAGGGGTGGGGTGGTTCGATTCCCGACATGGGTACTATGTGTGAAGCCCATTTCTGGTGTCCCCTGCCGTGATATTGCGGTGTCAAATCAAACTCACTCACACTCATTATAACATAAAGAAGATATTATACCCTGATGCTTCAAACATTATGCCATAATGATCGTTAAAAAGTCTTAATAGGAATCTCGTGAATTTATAGTATGGTACCATGGCAGACGTACTGAAAACGGTTCGTATGAACGTTACTAGTTCCGCGTGATCAAGCGAGCCCTTTTGTGGCCTGTATATAATTAAATAGGGCGTTTTCATAATCGAGAGCCATAGTTTTGATTAGTTTCCTTCCCATACATCTATAATTTTTCACAATGACCTACATTTGTGCCAGTATTACTTTTTTGAAAATGCACGTTCAAAATGGTTATGAATTCCTGGCTCAGAATCAAATGCAACGACAGCATGACGTCATCATAATGGTTAAATATTGATAGATATTGATGTGCTGTTTCTGTTATAGATCTATAAATAGCCTCTACGTGCACGGCGTGTGAATGCTAGCGTATGTGACTACAAAGATGTAGGCAGCAGCCCCGTTGTGGAACTAACCAAAGGTATAAACGGTTTCTCTGTTGGAATGCGCAGCCGCCTAGTCCTTGTAGACAGTGTCTCGGTCTAAATCAGGCAACGTGCAGTACGTGAAACAATTTCCTGCAATTAATTTGAACATGGTCTTATATCAGATCCTTGAATTCTCCAAAGAAAACGAATATTTCACGTAACACAATACTGACAATGATTGCTTAAATTCGCCGAAGAAAAAGATTCACCTGTGGCCAGGTTTCAGTAACGCCTTCGGAATTTATCAGCTGAATTAAACGTGAAGGAGGATGTCGACTCTCAGAGGTGAATCTGTTGAAGAAACGTATTTATAATACATTCTAAATCATAGTAACCTATCGAAACTATCAGAGATCGACTTCACCACCTGTCTTCTGGCTGGCAATTCTGGACTTCCGGGTTCAAAGGGTATATGTTCTTTCTGGGTTAATTTGGTATTAAAGTAATAAATTGTGGACAAGTGACGGCGCATTATCGGGACTAAGGGGTGCCCCTGGAACAATGGATAAAAAGCTCTGAGTAGATCAACCATGTGCGTAGGTAGCATGCTGTAGATTGTGCTTGATCCTAAAATTCTCTGGGCGTGTGTATTGTTGTCTTTACGACGCCCCCTCCCCCCCTTTCTGTCTTGGAGAAAAAACTCGAACCTATTGATTGTACTTTCGGAATCAGCCGATTCCAGTGATTTCACCAACTTAAACCATTTTATGGTTGATATTAATATAATATTTTTTGCATCATGGCCGATAGTTACGTAAGTTTAACACCAGTCAATTCCTGACTCAACTGCAACAACTGATTGACGTCATCATATTGGTTTAATACTAGTTGTCTCTCTCCTTCTATCCACTCTGGCTCCCGGCTCTATCCTCAATTTCACTACCCCCTCTCAACCCCATTCCCCCTCTCGCTCTCTCTCCCTCCTTTTCCTCCCACCTCCCTCCACCCCCTCTCTCTGTCCCCTTTTCCCAAACTATAAAAGCCTCCCTCACTCGTTCACTGTGCAACTTGACTGGGTTCCTGTCTGTCTGACCTATTTGCGCATATATACAGTTGAACAAGTCAGTTATGTAACAGGCAGTTTCTCCTTACATGCCGGGACAAGCCGAATGTCTCCGTTCAGAACCGAATATTCATGACTATATTTTCCGTCGTATGTTACACCCACCCACTTGCCACCCAGGTGGTACTAATATTTGACAGCGCACCGCCAAGGTAATTACAGATATGACCAGACAGAACCCAGTCTACGTATGCCCGATAACCCCTTTCCTAATTATTCCGTGTTCTTCTCCAGTTCTTCTCCAATTGCAATAACCGGTGTCTTGACAGAATAGGGCGTTCACTATGACCTCGATTTGAGGAAACCATAAATTATATTTTATCGAGTTAAATTTTGAATTAATTTTATTACGTAGCCTAACACCAACTTGAAATAGTTTAATGGCTTTATTACACTGTAATCTTTTAATGCTTCACAAAAATGTGTATAGCACTATATCCTTATCGCTCGGGGCTACATTCTAGACGTTATATGTAAACTGAGAATGTTGAAATTGACTATGGGGGCAGATCCTCGGAGATTTCAGCCAAATTGTATAAAACAAGGACCATAGTATCTCAACTTGTAGGCGGACATGAAAGACGAGGGAGTTTATTTTTAACACCATTCTATTAAAGGAGTTAAAATCTGTTTCAATTTAAAATATGAGAACTTGTATCAGCTGTTTGTGTTCTAATGTATAGCCGCGTGCTTCTGTGGTCGTTTGGGGATTTATGCTTCATTATTTAAGTCAAGATAAAGGTGATTTCGAATTTAATTTGAGATGTGTGTATTTCAGACCCTAGCTCGGGCATAGATGCTGATGGTGCCGGGATGTGGTCGTAGAGAGAAGTATCGCATCTGTTGTGTTCCTCAAAGCGGCAGCTGAGCTCAAAATAAAGATAGGTTATTGTCTGTGAGTCTTCACTTCATATTCCCAAGTACGATGAGATATGACTAGTGAGAATGGGGCTTGGCGTTGGTAGGGGTGGGTGTGGCTGATATCGGGTCAGCTGATGTGATGTAGGAAAAGCTGTGTGTTGAGTGAGGATCTGAAAGAGTGAGTGAGTTGGGTTTAATGCCGCTTTTAACAGTATTCCAGTTATATCACGGCGTGTCAGCTTAATGTGGGAGAGAAGCCCGAAGTGATCAGGTCTCAGACGTTACCACTTCGGTGAAACCCACGAGCACGGGTATGGTGCTGACAAACCTAGATCAGAGAGAACCGGGATTCGAAACCACAATCGTTGGTTTTAGGCGTGGCCAAGGGATGCAACTCTGCACAGCGAATTGCAGGATCTGATCGAAGGGGAAGATGTTGGGTGAGGTCGGGTTAGCTGGTGTGGGAGAAGAAAGGTGTTGAGTGAGGATCTGAAAGAAGGGGGAGATGTTGGATTGTTGTGTTGTGTTATGTTATGTTATGTTGTGTTGTGTTGTGGCGTGGCGTGGCGTGGCGTGGCGTGGCGTGGCGTGGCGTGCCCCACATTCACAGCTTTTGGCGTGGCCAAGGGACGCAACTCTGCACAACAAATTGCAGGATCTGAAAGAAGAGGAAGATGTTGGCTTGGTGTGGTGTGTGGCGTGGCGTGGCGTGGCTAGGGTAGGGTAGGGTAGGGTAGGGTAGGGTAGGGTAGGCGTGGCGTGGCGTGGCGTGGCGTGGCGTGGCGTGGCGTGGCGTGAAGATCTGAAGAGGAGAAGAGGTAGGGTGGGTTCGGGCTAGCTGGTGTGGTGTGGTTGATGAGTAATATATGGATGCTTGAGTGCGTTGAGTAGTGATACAAGGATGTGATATACAAGCTAGGTTGTTGTACTATCAGGTTCTGGCTGTGATAGTGTTGAGTTAATAAAGGGTTGATTCGGGAGGGTTTCATTGATGCAAGACTTGCAAAATTGACAACGCAAATACAGTTTGTGATATGACTGGATTGTTATAAAAGCATGACTGTATTAATCGTACTTGAAAATATTTTTTTATGGTTCGATGGAGGCGTAATAACATACGATGCTTATGTCAGAGCGGGAAGTAATTCATGCATATTATGTATAGAACCACAGTGAGTGAGTGAAGTGAGCTTAATGCCAAACTCAGATTATGTTTGAGCGTGATGAGCCTAGGGAAGAATGTACCAGGGCGATGATCCTGAAGCCATGGTGAGGTGAATAAAATGGGGTTTAACGTGGCGTTCAAGATTATAGCACTTATATAGCGACGTGTGTGTGTGTGTGTGTGTGTGTGTGTGTATGTGTGCGTGCGTGTGCGCGTGCGTACGTGCGTACGTGTGTGGCTGCTTGTACTAGTCCGGACTAATGCCGAGTTCATAATGCCAGCCAACTGAGATACCATGCCGCAGTTTAACATGAATAGTGAGTGAGTGAGTATGGTTTTACGCCGCTTTTAGCAATATTCCAGCAATATCACGGCGGGGGACACCAGAAATGGGCTTCACACATTGTACCCATGTCGGGAATCGAACCCGTGTCTTCGGCGTGACGAGCTAACGCCTTAACCACTAGGCTATCCGACCGCCCCTAACATGAATAGCCTACTCCGACAGTATTTTGACTCCGAGTCGACCACCGAGCGACAGGCAGGGTAACAACAAGTACCATCTTTTAACATCTTTTGGTATGACGCAGCCGGGGATCATACAGGACCCTCCGCTCTCCGGGGGGACGCTCTGCAAGTAGACAACAGAGGCGGTCCTGAAGCCAGGGAGCACAATGGGAATGGGCACAAAATCGCAATCAGGGGACATGGCTGAAGATGATGGAACGTGGGGGTTGCTGGGAGATGGATCGCCAGGATAAGCTGCAGGGTTGGCGTTAGACATGGACTGAACATTAACGAAGATGTATATGCGTCAATTGCAAAGATAAGATGAAAATGAAAAGAAGACAATATTTTGGCAGCGATTTAAGGGAGGAAGTGGTAAGAAGGGCTATCGGAAAGAGTGTAAATATATTGAGAGTAGCCAAGATCAAAGTACATTAAACACATGCTTATAGTTAAGTAATGTATTAGGACGTGATGTAATCACGGTGACCATGACGCCACATCCTCTTGATTTCTTGAAGACTTTCCATTAAAACACAAACGCAACATCCTTCTAATCAGCCCCCGTAGCTCCGACACCCATCCTGGATTTTAAATTACGAGCACCCCTGTCAAGAGGTAATCAAACGCCAACGCCGCAAAAAACGCGCTTTCTCGGGATGTATGAATTTGTTTAACCTCTTACGATAAAGATGATTTAAATTTTACATACCTGTTCTTATGTTATTGATAGACTGTTGATAAAAGTGTATAAAGTTTGTTTGCAAGTGATTATTTTCATAAGAAGTTAAAACATACAAACATTTAAATTATGTATATTCTTTATTGCTATTGAGATTTATTGAAGTTGTTTCCCTTGAATTTGGATGAAATAGATAGGCAAAAACGCTCTGTGTTGTATTTATACAGTTTATAAACTGAAGGTGAATGCAACAGTGAGCAAGGCGTAGTGGAACACAAACGCGACTGGCGTTTACTACGAAAACTCGAGAGTTGTAAGAACTTTTTAATATGTAGGGTTGGCCGTTTCTCGCTTAATCGCCTTGTTCACGGTAACGATCTCTCTGAGGTTTCTTTGCTAATTAGGAGAGTAATGACGCAGTTGTAACAGTGTAGGAAGAAGAAGGTAAGAGCAGATACCTGGTCTACACCTCAATGACAACAGTTTACACCTCGCTCGCGGAAAACTCAGATTATTTACAGTATGGGTAACGAGGTACTCGAAAGGAGACTTTTTCAGGTATGAGGGAGTGAGTGGGCCATGCGTGTTTGTGTTTATCAGTTGTCAGTGGGCTTACGGAATTGGCTTGAATCTGTGTTCGGAATCGAACACTGGATTTGACGTGAGGACGTTTTTACTACTACGATGACTTCCCGCTATTGCATTCGGGAATTATATTCAGGTGTAGTTTAGACTAACCTAAAATGATACAAAAACTCCATTTCAGTGGGGCAGATGAGATTTGGTTAGTGGCGCCTTACTAGACATTTAGAAAGTGAACCCAATTCAAATGCGTCGGGTCCGCGTCAGATTGGCGTCAGGCGTGCATTGGTTGAGCGTGGGCCGAGCGTTGGAAGTGCGGTATATGAACGTCCGCCCTGATATTGCTGGAATATTGCTAAAAACGTCGTTAAACCATACTCACTCACTAGTGGTTAAAACGCTAGCTTATTTCACTGATGACCCAGGTACAAAGTGTGAATTCTATTTTTATGAGTGAGTGAGTGAGATGATTTTACGCCGCTTTTAGCAATATTCCAGCAATATCAGGGCGGGGGACACCAGAAATGGGCTTCACACATTGTACCCATATCGGGAATCGAACCCGTGTCTTCGGCGTGACGAGCGAACGCTTTAATCACAAGGTTACCCGACCGTCCCCTTATTATTATTAGTGAGTCCGCAGCTGTAGTACTGGCAGAATACTACGAAAAGTGGCGTAAACAATACTCACTCACATTTACTATAAACACATATGTTTTCGCTCCCCTTATGTTTTTAAGTCTTTTAAAACTGTTCTTTGCATAATTAGACTCGTCTTACCGAGCAAGTAAAACGCCTTTGACATATGGATATTAAAAACACTAATTCAAAATGTTACCCGCTCATAGCGTAACTACTCCAAGAGAGTGGGGTTTTGGGGTAAAAACATGATTTCATTAAAATATACAGAGTTCCCTGTCAAAATACGAAACGGAAGATAAACTTTCTGAACCTGTTATGCCCACCTGGTTAACACATGACATCCACGAGAATGTGTCTACCACTCAATAAATGATGCTGCACTCGCAAGACACTTGCATCGATTACGAAGAACAGTCATGCAGAATCTAAACCTTGGAATATATCTGAAATTATCTTGTACCTAAGAACATTGGTAATACGTCTTCTACGAATCCAGGCAAGTTTTCGACTTGTAATTCAATTTAATGGAAATGTGCAAATTTGTTTATTCGTTTCGACGTTGATACGACTTATTGGAAAAGGGAATTAAACCCCCAGCATTAGAGTGAGCAAGACTTGGGAAATGTTGGCGTTTTCAACGAAGAATGAGACGCAGCTAGAAGGAATGTCTTTCCCTGCCGCTAAGTGATGATATAGTTTTCATTACATCATTCAACGGGGATCTCGAACACAGAAAGGTAAATAAATCCATCTCTAAGCTGAAATGCACGTGTTGTCTGGGCAAAGATATATATAGCACTTTACGTCCAATACTTAAAAATATACTACTCGCGGGAGGTAACGCATTTAATTCCTACCTGCATATATATGCAGGTAGGAATTAAATGCGTGTATATATATATATATATATATATATATATATATATATATATATATATATATATATATATATATGGATGCGGTGATGCGTACAACAGCGAGGTCTTGTGAAACCGTTTCACTAAATCCGAAAGGCATTATTTCTATGGCTGAGCCTGAGGGTCATAGGGTTATATAATAATGGGCGGCATTGTTTAACGATGTGCGATGTGTCACGAAGTGGGCCACTCACATCATCAACTGCAACAGACCACCGATACATCATCAGCATACATTTGTTTTTTTAATTGTTTTACGCCGCAGCGAACAACATTTCAGCTATAAATATTATGTCGATATTTAAATCATACAATTATACATCACCATCAAGGCAATTATACATCACCATCAGGACAGTTATACAGCACCAACAGAGCAGTTATACAGCACCATTAGGGTAGTTATACAGCACCATCAGGGTAGTTATACAGCACCATCAGAGCAGTTATACAGCACCATCAGAGCAGTTATACAGCACCATCAGGGCAGTTATACAGCACCATCAGGGCAGTTATACAGCACCAACAGAGCAGTTAT